AGGGGGGGGGGGCAGGCCTCAGATGATTTGAGGCCAAATATCATATTTAGACTTTTTTATTATTATTATAATAATATTTATATAATAATTTACATATAATTGTAACGCAATACATGATTGTCACTAAAAGCCTTGTCTCTACATTACAATAAAATATAAAACAGAATTGATTAATTAATTTGAATAACAATTCAAGTCAGTAGCTATTATAGGCATAAAAAGACAGAAATGTATAATTCTTATTGTTATTCAAATTAATTAATCAATTCTGTTTTATATTTTATTGTAATGNCACACACACACACACACACACACACACACACACACACACACACACACACACACACACACACACACACACACAGTTGACTGTGTGATTCTGTGTTTTGGATGGCAGGGCGATGTTTGCTCCGGCCTGTCTGTCACATGAACTCATCACAAGAACGTAAGTAAACTTTCTGATATGAGAACAATAGGACCTTAAAAGGATTTTTCTTTTTATTATGAAGGGATTCTGAGGGCACTCCACTCCTCTACTTCATCATCGGTGTGCTCAGTTAGTTACTTCCAGTTTACAATCCATAACACAATATAACAGATAGAAAAGTCTGCTTTTGTAAAAATGTAATAACCCAAAAAGGATAGTTGAATTTCAGTAAATAATCCTGTTAATTCCATATTACACATCAAGCCCTACTGCCCATTACTCAGTCAACTTTGGTCTACAACAACTAAATATAAATGATAAATAACAAATGTTTTGAATGACTTTAGAAACAGTTACATTTTGTCCACAAGAGGGCACTGAAGAGTTTATTTTTTAAATTGTAAAATATCCCACTTAAACTTGGTTAAACTTCCTACAAACAAATATATAATTATAAAGGATCAATATCAAACGCATTCATTTAAATAAATAGAAGCCGATTTAAGTTTTTGCAATCTCTAAACACAACCCAGAGAATGAAAGGGGAGGTATACCATAATAGTCTTCTATATCAGGGGTACCCAACCTTTTCTCCCAAGAGCCCCCCCAAATGACTCCTGTTGGAAGTTGCGCCCCCCTCGTAAATAATCTACAAAATGAAGGAGATTGATCTGATCGGAGCAACTGTGACAAATAATCCAACTGAAACCGGCATGNCGGAACACTCGCAGCCCCTTCGCTCTGACACCTCTTCATTAGTGCATGTTAGGTCCTGTTTGTGCGTGTGTGTGTGTGTGTGTATGTGTGTATGGCACCTGTTATATTTCCTCCTTTTCTGCAACTCTATTCAATATATGTGTAAAGAGATGATAGCATGTAATCGTTCTGTCCATACCAATTAAAAAATGAATTTGTCCAAATAAAGATGCTAACAACAACATTAGTCATGACACTGGTAATGCATAACCAAGGAACAGTTCATTTTATGGAAGTTGGTTAGATAACTTAAGTTATATATATTGTCATATCGGCACAGCTCTAATAAGGTGCTTGGGTTGGTCCTCGCAAGTATGGACAACGTGTATATGTGTTTGACTTTTCTCAAGGCTGGAAAGTAAAGGTGATCATTGTGTTGGAATGAACGGAGGCCAGCAGCACGGTGTTAGATAACATCTTTCACCATTCCTCGACTGAAGTTTAAACTTTCCCACACATTACCACACGCACACACGCAACATGCACACACAGCTGTTGTTCAGTAGTTCCAGCTGTGCGGTCCCAGGTGCTCACGCATCCGTCCAGCCCTCATCTCATCTCTATTAAATTACATCACTCCGTATCTTGATCCTTTTCCAGGGAATTTACGCTTCCATGAAATGCATATTAGCTCCACATCAGCATAAAAAAGCTCTGTGACTGTTGCGAAGCAGAGGGGAATGCTTTTCAGAACTGAGGAGAACAATAGTAAAACATTTATGGTTCAATTAGTTTCTACACGGGATTGTGCACACATGGTTTACACATGCTGCAGACAGAGTTCCCCGCATCGCGTGAGGTTTTATTGTAAAATCACAGGGCTGATTTCCCTGAACAAGGGAAAGTCACTTCTGTGTTTTGTTTTGTCACTGTTGAAGCTAATAAAAATCTGTCGGCCATCATTTCAATCTCTGTTTTCTCCTACTGTATCATCACTTTCCAAATCCAGTGTTTCGGAGACAGAATCCACCCCTGTGTGCGTCTACATGAGAGACGAGGTAAGCAATGTTATTTTAAAGGTCACCTATTATGCAACATGTATATTATTATATATCCACATTTTCATGTCTTTTATACATAAACATGTGTCTCCTCTGTGTTAAGAGATTCTGAAAGTTTCAGGAAAAAATATTCTCTCTCTTTTTGTCCTGATCCATTTATATTAAAAAAAATGAGCTGATCAGATTTTGGCCACTTTATGATGTCATAACGCTGTGTAACCATTAGCCAATCACCAACCAGGGTAACCCCCCAGACCTTATCACCTGAATCTCCTTTTAACCAAATATCTCTGAGGGGAGTGGCTCCTTATTTTCATCTAAAGTAAAAGAAACAGGGCTGAAACAGAGGGGATTATGGGATGCTACGATGCATGATCTGTTTGGTATATCGAGCCAAACACTTCAGAGACATGTTTTTATATATATATCTGAGACCTATAATATGTTGATGAAAAAGAGTATAATAGGGGACCTTTAAGTATCCCTATTTCAAAGGAAAGGGGCTTTTATGGCAACAAAGCTGCTGTTGTGTCTGTGTGTAGGTGAATGGGGAAGAAGCGCTGAAGAAGACCACTCTGAGGTCTCTGGGTCTGACGGGAGGAAATGCCATTGTCAGGTACGCTGGTGCTGAAGAAACGGCATGCTGTGCAGAAACAACATTAATGTGACACGTTACAATAAAGCCATTTTTTCCCTCTTTCTGCTTCAGGTTTTTACTCAAGAAGAACAAAGCAGAGGGAGATACTGGGGAAGCCACTGAAGCGGCTGCTATGCCAACCATGCTTGTTGCCAAGAAAACCACACCTAGCCCATCATCTCTTCCAGACCCTGCTCCGTCACCTCCAGAGATGTCCAAAACAGAGATGCCAATTAAACATGTAACCCCCCAACAGCCAGTTGTTGCTCCAACTCCCGCCTCTGCCCCAAGCAGGTCACTTCCTGTTCAGAAGGAGGAAATTCCAATCTCCCAGGATGCAGTTCGGCCAAAGGTCCCTCCTGTGGAGAGAGTAACGCCAGAGGAGGACGGCGAGGAAGCGGGGCCTTCAGGACTGAACTCTCACCCATTTTCTTCTTCTTCCTCCTCCTCGTTTGCTGCTCCCTTGGCTCCTTTCATTCCCTTCACTGGAGGCGGGCAGCGCCTCGGGGGTCCTCAGGGGGGCGCAGTGGGACGCCCGTTATCTTCATCATCATCATCCTCAGCTCTGACTGTAGCCGTTGATTCACCTAAAGCCAAGAAACTAAAAAGCAGCCACGGTTCGAGCATCAAGGTGAGCCATATGAGTACTGATATCATAATGAAGGTGTATTCAATATATAGTTTAGGTTTGCATTTTGAGATAATGATTTTTTATTAGGGAACAATTTAAAAATATTTACCGCAGTTACACCTTATAACGGAATTGTTTAAATATTATGAGTACTCTGGACTTCTTTTCCATGTTAACATGAAAGTGACTGAAAGCTCCAAAAAGAACTACAGAACTTTGCAAAAATGTTATGTTGATCCAATGTATCTAGTTGGTTTGAACCTCTGTCTGTCTGCCATACAGCCTTCTAGTTAAGTAGCAGCAGGATTCATGCCTACCAATGCATTGGTATATACTTTCTGTTTTGGTACAAGTAAATAAGAATACAAACGGCTGAAATGGCTTTCCTCCGTACGGCCGCTGGAATCTCCCTTAGGGATAAGGTGAGAAGTTCAGTCATCCAGGAGACACTTGGGAGTAGAGCCGCTGCTCCTTCAGCCAGTTGAGGTGGTACAGGCCCCTAGTTAGGAGGCCACCTGGCCCCTTGGTGGTCCAGGCACGACCAGGTGGGAGTTAGGGCCATAGTAGACTGAGGGTCAGACCAGGTGGAGGGATTATATATCTCCATTCAAAGTGGATGGACAAGCAAAAAGCACAACATTGTAATTGAGAATAAATGTATGTTTTTAACCTGTAAGCAAAACAGGACAAACAATCTTTCCACAAGTATTTGAGTATAACTATGAGCCATTTTCCTTCCTTTAACAGGGTCAATCCACTGCGAATCAGCCAGACGAGGACATGGATCTAGGGGAGTTCTCGGCGGTAAGACACAATGATTTCCGGTCAGAACTTCCTGATGTCTTGCCTTTTTAAAGCCGTTTACTTAAAAAAAGGCTTTCCACACAATATAATTATGTAACTGTGAAAGGGTTTATTAACAGAAACATTTATTTCTATTATGTTTCGAGCCCTAACCCTTCATACAACAATTGCCTCACAGTTTGAAAACCCTTTCTTTAGGTGAACATCAGTGTTATCATGTCTTCATCCTTTCACTCGCTCCCTCCCTTTCTGCAGCCCGCAGAGAGGGAGCTCCTCATCTACCACCTGGACGCCGTGTCCCGTCACTCCGACCACAGGGATCTGCCCGACGAGTTCTTCGAGGTGACGATGGATGATGTGCGCAAGCGCTTCGCCCAGCTGAAGAGCCAGAGGTGGGAGGAGGAAGTCGTTTGGGTGGCTTTGGGTCAGAGGATGGTGTGTGATATTTGGTATAAATACCTTGTTGCTGCAGAAACGCGTCTGGATCAGATGTGTTTGTAACGCATAATTAGTCAGTTTGGCATTTGGTCCTGTGGTGTTTTGTCGATGTATAATTGCAAAATACCATGGCAATGAGGAGAGGCCACAGGCAGGGAGAATGCAGGGCATCGCTGCGTGCGTTTTTGAAGTTTTAATTTTTTTATATTATGAGTTTGAAGTTTTTATTTATTTATGAGCGCTTCTTCGAAACAGATGCAGACACGTTTACTCTCTGGATGTGGCCGCAGCACACCACAGCTGCTGAGACACCGTGTGTGTTTTGCAAACATTTTCTCATTTATAAGACACCACGCACTCTACAACAACTTCTAAATATGGCACACAGGGAGCAATTAGGAAGGCTGTTTTGTGTTTATCCTTCAGCCCTCGACCAAACACCGTCAGATTGAGACCTCAGCGCGCACGTCCTTTCATCTCTGTCTACATTGACTTAGCTGGCTGCCTCATGGCTGCGCTACCACCGTGTCAATGACTGCAATTACCAAAGGGGGAATTAAACCCACCACAGCAATTCATCTCTGCCTGTCACGCACGCACACATACACGGCCACACAACAATAAGGGTGGAAGATGAACCATTTTTCTACCCATCTTGTTGATTCCACAGTGGGCCTTTTTTATTTCCAAGCTTGTTTCATTACAACTCTTTCTCCATCCTTCCTACAGGAGACACCTGGAGGAGGCTCCGCTGATGACTAAAGCTCTGAGAGAATCACAGATGAGAGAGAAGATGGAACGATATCCCAAAGTGAGCACGAGTGACAGACACAGAATAACAATCCTGCTTTTAAATGTGCGCGTTTGCATGAAATATACAACATTTGAATACCTCTGTTTGTCTCCAGGTGGTCCTGAGGGTCCAGTTTCCAGACAGACATGTTCTACAAGGTTTCTTCAGGCCACTGGAAACAGGTGTGTGTGCGTGTGTGTTTGCAGTGTTCATTTCAGCTGGCTAGCCACAGGTATGGCTGCAATGTTAAAGCTCTCTCACCACATGTATTACTGTAGCCACACCAGAGTGACAGAGACAGAAATAATGAGACAGGTCTGTAATTCCAGGGATTAGATGCACCTCATCCCCAACAGCAACACGACAAGCAGCAGAACAATAAATCCAAGGGGAATTCCATGTGAAAAACACACATTACCTGAACGAGGTGCTGATGGATCAGCTCGTTGATTTGTTTCTGTGTTTGTGTTTTTGCCCAGTTGGTGCTGTGAGGCAGTTTGTGAGCAGTCACCTGGAGGATCCTGAGCTCAGCTTCTACCTGTGTAAGTGTCATTTAAAGAGCACATATTATGCTCTTTTTCAGGTTCATATTTGTATGTTGTGTCTCTGCTGTGACATGTCTCCATGCTTTAATGTTCAAAAAGCTCTTTATTGTTCTCATACTGCCTGTGCTGCAGCACCTCTTTTCACCCTCTGTCTGAAACCAGAGCCCAGTGTGCTCTGATTGGTTAGCTGGCCGGCTCTGTTGTGATTGGTCAACTGCTTAGAGATTTCCCACCTCTTATCTTATCACATACAATGTGTTGGAACGCTAGCCTATAGGAGCGCGAGTGTTACATAGTGATGTCATTATGTGGTGGAAGTAAACAAAGGAGTCCAATGGAGGCGTTTCAGGCAGAGAGGGAGAAACTCTCTGGAGGGAACTTTGGGATTTTAGCCTTTGCAGACCATTTACATGCACGAAAACCTAGATGACGTCTAGAGGAAAGGGAAAACATCAAAAGCATAACACGGCCCCTTTCACAATGGATATTTTTGTGAGGATGTTCATACCCTGAATCGGTAGTATTGGTCTGCAAACTTTTAAAAGTGAACTAACAAATGTTACAGAAATGTGAAAGTTAAGGGCTGGAATATGTACCCCTAAATTAAGACTGACCCCTCAATTAAGACTGACCCCTAAATGCATTATAGTTCCCACTAATTTATCACAACATAATCAAATCAAAAGATATCCTGAGAAAAACCCTCAGAGATTATTGAGATTCCAGTTGTAAAATATACAACACCATTTTTTTCTACATGTTACAATAACACAAAGGCAGAGTACAAACGGTGGCCAGGAAAGGTCACATTGACACTGGATTTATTTTGGTGAATGACTACGTTGACATGTTTTCACACAATAGCTGTTCGTACTTACCTCTAATGTCTGCCTTTTTGTCTTTTGCTTTCTGTCAGTCATAACCCCCCCAAAAACCATCCTGGACGACCCCTCAGCGACTCTGTTTCAGGTAAGATGCCTCAAACACACAGTTTGTCTTTACGCAACACTTTCTTTAAACCAAAGCAATAAACAGTGCAATTAGACTCAAACAAACCACATCACAGTGAAACTGCAGAAAACAACAACTACAAAACTCTCACACACACACACACACACACACACACACACACACACACACACACACACACACACACACACACACACACACACACACTGTAAAATGTATCGGCTGGTCCCTCTCTCCTCT